ATCCATTCACGTACTCACCCATCCATCCACCCATCCATCTACCCACCCACCTAATCATACACCCATCCATCCATTCTCATCCCTGATTCATCCACCCAACCATCCATCCATTCACCAACTCATCCATCCATCAATTCGTCCACCCATCCCTCATCCCCCACCTCCTTCATCCCCATCCCCCATCCATCCACCCACTCATTCACCCATCCATCAGTCCACCCAACCATCCACGCACCCATCCAATCCCTCCATCCATCCATCTACTTATCCATCATCCGCCACCCACCCAGCCATTCACCATCCGCCCATCACCCCTCCAGAATGTAAGCATCTGAGGTCAGTGATTGTGAGGGCACCTATAACGGGCCAGCTCTTACTAGCACTTGCCCTGTGCCAGGCTCTGTGCCCATCAGGTGGTGACTTAGCCCGGTCAAACCCCCAATTCCCCATCCTGTGGATGCAGGAACTGAGGTTGAGAAGGTGAAGTGATGCACACAGGGTCAGCCCAGGAAGGCGGGGAGGCGGGCGGGGAGGCGGGCGGACTCAGGCTTCTGACTCTAGAGCCCACCATTTCCTCCCGCCTGGAGGACACGGGGCACGATCTCTGCCCCGAGGACACCCCAAGGGACACACAACATGTGGGTGGTGCATCCTCCCCACGTGGGCCTACGGGTGGGAGACGCACAGCCCTGCCCCTCAGCATCCCCGGTGTGTGATGATTAGACCAGGGTCACCCCACCGTGCCAAGTCCATGAGTCAAAGGAGGTGAGTGGTAACAGCAAAGAGACTTTGTGCCCCGGACCCAGGCCAGGCCTGAGCTGTGCCGAGACATGGAGAGGCCAGTGCACGGGACCCTTGCTTTGCCATTGCTGCCCCAGCCCTTCTAGAAAATTCTTCCAGATCCTTGGTCAGGAACATGGTCCCTGCAGGTAGTCAGAGTTTGAGTTATTCCAAATCTCATTAGCTCTGATGATGGAAAGGTTGGCGTGGAAAAGTGGGTCTTCAGGCACAGCTGGATCCTGGGCCTCAGGCAGCAACTTTAAGAATCCAGACTGGGCCAGATGCAGTGGCTCATGCCTGTAACCCCAGCACTGTGGGAGGCTGAGGCGGGGGGATCACTTGAGGCCAGGAGTTTGAGACCAGCCTGGGCAACATGGAGAATCCCTGTCTCTGCAAAACATACAAAAAATTAACATGAGGGTATGTGCCTGTGATCCCAGCTACCAGGGAGGCTGAGGTGGGAGGATCATTTGAGCCCAGGAGGTCGAGGCTGCAGTGAGTTATGACTGTGCCACTGCACTCCAGACAGGGCAACAAAGCAAGACCCTGTCTCTTAAAAAAACAAGAAGACAAGAACAGAATCCATCTCTGGCCATCTCTTGGGCTGGCCCCGAAGGCCGCAGATGCGTCAGACTCACGTCTCAGCTGAGCAAACCTGCGGTGGGAGTGAGCTCATCTGCCAGATGTCCCTGGAAGTCCTGGGACCAGCACGGTGGCACCCCTGCCCACTGGCTGGGAGGCCTCACCCCTGTATCACTACATTTCCTGGAGACACTAGAGCAGCCCCAGCCACTCTAGACAGGGACACTGCCCTGGAGGGGCACCCAGCAGCCTCCTCACACCCTGTCATTCCCTTCCCCTGGGGAATGCCCCACCCCACCTCCCAGGGAACTGGCACCTAGCCCTGTCATCGCCTCTCTTCTCCCATTTTTTTCTTTTTAGAGACAGAGTCTGGCTCTGTCGCCCAGGCTGGAGTGCAGTGGCGCGATCTCAGCTCACTGCAATGGGGTTTCACCGTGTTGGTCAGGCTGGTTCGAACTCCCGACCTCAGTTGACCTGCCTGCCTCAGCCTCCCAAAGTGCTGGGATTACAGCTGTGAGTCACCGTGGCCAGCCTTTTTTTTTTTTTTGACAGAGTCTCTCTCTGTCACCCAGGCTGGAGTGCAGTGGCACGATCAATCTGGGCTCACTGCAGCCTCAAACTCCTGGGCTCAAGCCATTCCCCCCATTCAGCCCCCAGCAGCTGTGACGACAGGTGTGTGCCACCACGTCTGGCTTCCTCCCAGTTGGGAGGTGCCTCTCCCCTCTCCAGCCAGCAGCTAGCTGACAAGCTGATCCTACTTGGGGCTCACCAGAGGCAGTGCTCCCCAGAGGAGCACTCCCCAGGGGCTACTCCTTGCAAAACCAGACAAAATCTCTTTCCACCCAATCTATCGGAACCCCTGGGACTGCAGGAACCCCCATATCCTTCCAAAAGACTCTCCTCCACCCCTCTTGACATTTGTCCCATCTTTGACCCCTTCAACCCTTGGGGCTCTTCTCATTCTCTTCCTGGCCCAGCTGCAGGGAGGGGAGGGGGCGTCCGTGCACCAGCACCTCTTTGTGGCCGTCTGCAGTCTGGCTGAGGCCCAAAGTCAGCCCAGGTCACAGGATATGTGGCTGGCAGGTGAATCCAGCAGCTCTGTACAGCTGTGGCCAGATCAGGTTAAGAGTCCCTCCTCTCCTGCAGTTCCCTGGGGCTGCCATGACCAAGTCCCCATACGCCGGGGCCTAAATGTTGCAAAGGAATTCTCCCTGTCCTGGAGCCCGGAGGTCTGAAATCAAGGCGTGGGCAGGACCACGCTCCCTCCGGAGGCCCCATGGGAAGATCTTTCTCCCCTCCTCCAGCTTCAGGGCTTCCAGGCGTCCTTGGCTTGTGGCCACGTGGCTCCAGCCTCTGCCTCTGTCTTCCCAGGACGTTCTGCCCCACATGTGCGTCTGAATCTCACATCCCTCCTTCTCCCCCTCTCTTATAAAAACACCCACAATTGGATTTAAGGCCTGATCTAAATCAGGATGATTTCATCTCGAGATCCTTAATTATGTCTACAAAGACCCTTTTTCCAAATCAAATCACATTCTCACATTCTGGGGAACCTCTTATTTTGGTGGGGGGACACCATTCAGCCAGTGACATGCCCCTCAGTCTCACCGAGCAGGAGTTTGGGCCTAGAAACACCCACGTTTCACAGAGGAGGGAGTTCCAGGCCAGAGACCTGGGTAGGGCTGGGCTTGAACTCAGGCGTCCGTCTCTGGTGGTTCCTCTCCAGCTGAGCCTCCTCACCTCCTCCTGGAAGCCCTCCAGGCTTCTCTCCCACACATGCTTTTTTTTTTTTTGAGACGGAGTTTC